GAAAATCGTCTTTTCGCACTCTTTCCACTGATTCGCGCTGATTCGTCATCCTACCTAGTTGGATATCTATGCCCATTAATGTCCCATAAATTCCGGAGTCAGAACCATCCGTCAAGTCACAATCGCGGTAATTACGGTCCATAAACTGAACTTTCAAAATATGGGCGCATACTAAGTAAAGGTAGCTGGATACTATCCAAAGTTTCACCCATGAATATACCCCCCCCCTGCCCACCACCACATTTCCTGGGCGTGAAAGAGTCTGTTGCGTCAAAGGCGTCCCGCTAATGGGGTAGAAAACCGGCTTGTTATTCCGGCGCCTGTAGCGCTCACCCCAAGCGGAAACTGTGCTCTATACTAAGGCGGTCATCAGAATATCATCGAAGGTACATTTGATCAAATCTGTCACAAGGGAAAATTCAGATCAAAATGCGGCTTGAATTTCTAAATGAGAGGGACAGTAAAGTGTAAATAATGCCATTAATTACGCTAAATGTACTGACCGTGCTTTCCAATCCTGTTTGATATGTGTCCAATGACACTGGACAAATGGTGCATTCATCGAACAGACGTCTTGCGAAGACTCCAAACCTCTCATCCGGCCGCCTCTTCGATTTCAGTACGTCAATTTGTCCTAATAATCTCATAGATTTTGACTAGAAATTTGAGCTAAAACTCATTTAAGAACATGAAATGTGAGCACAGCAAAATATCAACCATTGACATCAATATCTGGGGCACGAGAAAAGAAGAGGGATGCCAAGATGCAAAGAAAAGAGACGAAGAAAAACGCGAACTCATTCGATTCTGGTCATCGATGGAATCCACAAGCCCAGGCAAGTACCCGATCATCATGCTGAGCACATCTGTCGTTGTTAATTCTCCATCCTTTAGATGATTTCTGAAAGAGTACACCTGTTGGTTACTGAGTTCTTAAAAGTCGGAGAGTCAGAGTTGCACGTCATTTATGCAGGTCATCGCAAGGTTTCACCCCAGACACGACGACGAATCCAACATCGACACATCACAAATCGGTACGTGAATTGGAACACAGTGAGGGTCCCATGAGATTGCAAACAATGCTGTAGGAAACATACGACTCGCATAAGACATCTGTACATTTATCCCCCTTCATTTCATTTGGACAATCGGCTGCTTCGGCATTCAAGTCTGGGGATATACCGACGAAACGCTTCAGACGTTGTGGGAAATTAGGGGACCTGAACTGACAAATCATCAATAAACATAACTCGGGCGCAACAATTCGAAGACATTGCCCACGAAACATCCGTTGCGTTAACGCCGAAGTAATCCTTTATGGCGAAACAGCAATCCCACGGCTATACCTCGTAACTTGAGTTTATGCGTGAAAAGGAAACAAACGACTAGTTGACCACATTTGTTGGACGTCAGTACCTGGCCTTACGCGCTCTTGCACTTCTTTGACCGCCGTAACTGATGATTGCATAAATGTTGTGGTATTTTTTGTTGAGCTTGAAACCCGTGAATAACAGCGAGAGTTGGCCAACCATTCAATTACCTGTTACTTCAACGACGTATTCCCTCATTTTTCTTTTTTTATTCTTTCGAATCTTGTTCTGAAGCCTTCCTCCTGGCCCGTTTTCACTAGCTCTTCTATATAGGCCTTTCATTCAAGGCAACTAGTTTCTCCTTATTTATTTTTCCTCGTTGTGCTATAAGGTGATGAAGTTGCTGTTTACTGCATCAAATCTCATGTGTGCACACTTTTTCCTGGGTGGTTTTTCGTTTGATTCCCTTCATTACTTCTGCCTATCATACAAAAGTTTTCTTACGGTGGCTTCTTTTGAAGTCTCTTATGCGCAGAGGTTCGGTTTCTGAGGCTCGTGTTTTACTTTTAGCGTAGCTTCGATTCCCTTTTTCACTTTATCCAATCATATTGTTTTAGAGCTCCCTTGGTCGTTTTTTGGAAGCTCCACATATACCCCTGATTTCCGGTCGGTAGTTTCGTCCCGTTCCTTTTTTCTATTATGATGATATTGATGTTTATGACTTTACTTCATATAAGCCCCTAATCATCAACAGTATTTCTCTCTGCACTTCAGCTGCATTCAACCTCTGCGTGAATCAGACGAAAGAAGTTACCTAAAACGAAGCTGAAAAAACACTCGTGCAGCAGGAAAGAATAACGAGGAGAAACAAAGGAAAACCCACCTAGAAAAAACTAACAATAAGCTTATATGGGCTTGAACGCAGTAAGCGTCAACGTCATCACATTATAGCACAGTAAGAAACCACTCACCTCAAACGAAAGTCCTGGAAGGGCTAGTGAAAAATGGAGCGAGGAAAAAGGCTTTGAAAAACACATTTTTTGAAAGAATGAAGAAGGGAAATAAACGAGTCGTTGAAGTAGCAGGGGTATATTAAAATTTTAGCATTGAAGTGCAACCCGAACCCACGCGCGCACGACGGGATCGCTCGTAAGTAGACCGTAGTGTCGCTGCGCGCCTGAATGCCGCCTCAAACAAACTGTGCTCATAGCTCGTTGTATGACCGGCCGACCCTAGCCGCAGTTAGACAGACAGCTGCAAACCGCCGAAAGAAGTTTTATACTGTACATGGTTCAAGTTACAGCGACTAAATTACTAGCGGGGAGCGCGGATAATAGCGCCTCCTTTGAAAGCCTCTAGGAATCAACGACACCGAATAAGCAATCATGCATGGCTAACTCATTCGCATGCTATGTTGCTGGCTGCAGTTGATCATTGGTGCAATAGTCCAGTTACCGAATCAGGACCAAGCCCAGATTTAATAGCCAGCAGTATTGTGGACATGTTAGACCTGCCACTATTAAAGGAGCCTTCGTTCAGATTCACCTGCAGGAGCATTACCCTGGTAGCCTCCCATTTCTGCGCACAGATACTGCTAAACATAGCCATAAGCTTTTTTTTGATTACCCGCCACGCCACGCATATTTCTGTAGACGATGCCTTCCTCTAACAGGGGGAGAAGAAACTGTTCCAACATACCTATACAATGGTTCCGCTTTATCTGACACATCTACTGTACTAGACGTGGCTGTTTGCGTTGACTGATCACAGGACTCTTCAGCACTAACGGGTGGACTGTCTCGATTATTCTCGTCTATACCAGAAAACACACTTCCCTTTATCACATATAGCTGATCACAAGGCTGAGCAGGCGTACCGAGAAATGGAAAAGGACGCAAATAGGCTGAGAAAGCGAGCCAGGCGAGAAACGTCCATGCATCAAGGTTAAACTCTAATTGTACACACAATTTCAAGCTATTGGCTGCGCTGACAGTAAGGAAACAAATTTGCAAGTATAAAAGTTCCACAGAAAGCGCTCTATTTTTGATATGCAAACACAAGTACCCACTTACCAGCAGAGAATACATAATCGAAACATCTATAGCCCCTTATCTACAGTTCACAGTTTTTGACCTAGCCCACCGCCGCGCGAGTGTGCACCATGTGTATCAAGTTCGTGTAGCTTTGTGGGGCCGAGTGCTGCACATGGTGAAGCATTTTTCTTTGAAACTCATTAAGCACTGTTCAATGAATAAAGGGTGTCAGTATATATATGTGATCCCTGGGATAAAATATGCCATTGGAAAATTGCGGGATCAACTTAGAGCTGAATCATGGAAATTCTTCGAAAGATACTTCAGAGGCTGAATTTTCTATTTATCTCTTAGTGACCAATTAATCCAGAACCCTGCTTGTGACTCCATTGGAAATCCGTGAAACACTTTACAGTCCTCATCATTACGGACTGTCGGGGCGGCACAGCCGCGCTGCACTGTGACAGCGGCTGCGGCTCGGTGACGGTGAATCAGCTGATTTCGATGGAATTCGGCTGCAAATTCCACTTTTTCAGCTCTTCAAGCTTCTAAAGTGGAAGGTGAGTTATTCTGAACAATTTTGAATTGTACTGGCTCTGATTTCCCTAATTTTGTCGATTATTATGCTCTTTTCTTTTTTGCCTTATTTCAGGCATTTATTCAAATGGCTTACATTCTTTCAGATTCATTCAGAGTCAGTACAATTTAAAATTGTTCAAAATAACTCACCTTCCACTTTCGAAGCTTGAAGAGTTGAAAAAGTGGGAATTCGCAGCCGAATTCCATGGAAATCAGCTGATTCGCCGTCACCGAGCCGCAGCCGCTGTCGCGTCACATTGCAGCGCGGCTGTGCCGCCCCGACAGTCCGTAATGATGAGGGCTGTAAGTGAGTAGTTTCTAAGCCCATTATGCCCCGTTTTCTATTCTTCTTGATTCTATCAACATTTTTTGGCTACTGCCGCATTTTCTCGGCTCACCATTTCTATCACTGAACAGTATTCAATTTCGTTTATCATACGTCTGCATATGAAAGTAATGTTTAATGCGATGCATATACAGTATCTTTATATCATGTGTATATGATGTAAATCTCATTGTTTACGCTCGGCGCGCCGCAAGTCGCATCAACAAAAAAGCGTCGACCACAAGCGCCTGGTAGCAGGAAAACGTCGCGGTACGCAATGGAGTAAATGTTCGCCCTACGTTCACTTGTCGCGCAGACGCCTCTTTTGAACATGATAGACCTGTCCGCAAACATGGAGGAGGACAACTTCTGCAGCTCTAGAACACATGAGGAGAGCGCGACCCGCTCGCAACGAAGCCACGGCTCCGCCCATTAGGTATGACAACGCCCACCTTTAACTGCTACCGGATCGTACGTTTGGTCCGCTATGGCATCAGAGCGCATTTCAAAAGAGTTAAGTACCCTCCGCACATCATTCCCGAAGCCCGCTCAACCAGACATAGACTTGTTTAACGTACCTTGACCAGAGTTTACGGATGAAGTGTCTCCCCTTCTCATACGAGATAGGAGTTTCAATCGAATTTTTCGTTCCTCATTGCAATCGGAAGATTCGGGCAGTTCCTCACGCAAATCAAGAAATGAAGCTGTGGATGGGGTGCGTAGAATGCTTTCAACCGATTTACTGGTTCGTTCACTTTGTTGGCTTCTTCTCGCATCTTCGTCGTCCCTATGGCATCATGATGATAGGATAGCTAATGAGGCAAAAGATATAGTTGATTTCAAAGAAAAGGTAGTAGAGGGCCTTAGAAAGAACACACTGCAATTAGCAGAACCAATTCTCAAATAGTTGGTAATCGGTAAGTAAAGGACTATAGGTGAGCTAGGCAGCGCAACGCGTCACAAACAGTCTTCATCACAGCACCAGCGGTCCCAATGATACAATATGAACCGTGTGGTGCTCTGAGCTCTTTCCAGGCACAAATTCTCATCTGCGGCAATACATCACCGTATACCAGGTGTTTTCGACCACACAGAATTTGACTAGAGACAAAATGGTAAAAAAAAACTGAAAAGTAAAATACCATTCACTAGCCAGCAACTGATCAAGCCTTTGCTCCTCGTATCGCTCCACTGTCCGTCTGATCACATTCCTACGCCGCATAAGAACACGACACTGAGCTCGTCCAGCTTCAATGTCTGCTTCTAACTCAGCAAGTTGATTCTAAGTACAAATGAAATTCGCCAGTGCAAACGAAAAAAAGAAGTCTTGGCAGTTCTACCTTCAATTCCACCCTACGTTGCAGCGACTCATCCAGACAAGTCATCCTTACTGATATTTCAGAGTCCAATTCACCCAGTTCTGACTGCTTATCCCTGTAATGCGACTTTTTTGCCAACTGTTCACAGCATGAGCAAGTGAAACGTCACGCACTTGAGCAAATTATTTAGTTCCATTAAACTAGGAGCTGGTGGGACAACTAACGATGCATCATTACCAGCGTTCTGCGAGAGATCATCTATCTAAAATGTTGGTTCTCCATTTAGTTCTTTTAGTCAAAATGGGAATAACAACCAACCTTTCGCCTTTTGTTGGGCGGCTCACCAGAAACAGACCGACATGTCCCACTACACCTGAAGAGATTTACAACTACGACACGGACAATGAAACGGAACTAACCAAGCCCTCTACACCTCTACGTCTAGCGCGCTGCAGAGACGAATGGGGACGTTACTGACACCGACTTGAGTAACTCGATTACGAACGGGAGCATTTGAGACACAAGTGACAGTTTAATCCTTCAGCGCACCACCTTTTGTAATTCAAGACAGATTTTGATGGAAACACTTTCCACGCTGAAGCGGTCAAAGGCGCTAATGCCGCGGGACAGTTCTGACGCCACCTTGCGCAGCTCACATGAAAATCGCCTCTGCGTCATATTCGTGCTCAGTAGGTGTGAATTACCCTAAGGAATGGATCATAAATAAAGCTGCCCAGGAAAATGCAGTAAAAATCTGAATGAGATTTCAAAGAGTGGGGTAATGGAGGGTGACTAATGCCCTCATCGAAATAGACGTTTTGCGAACAAAGTTGAATACTGCAGCAAAGAGCTAGTTGTTACGGCTTTTTCTCCAAGTTTACTTTCAGTACCTCTCTATATCAGTTGTGAGCTATTTCCTACGCGAATACAATTACTTTTGTTTGGTGATGACAACAATCGAAAGAAAATCACTGACCCTTCGAAGGAAGCTGAGTTTGATGTTTCCTGTTCCTGCTGCACCTGGCTATTCTCGTCAGTTGTTTGGAGTGGTATATTTTTAACATCAGCGATTTCTTCCTACAACAACCGTAACATTTTTCAGAGAATAGAAACAGCTTGTCGGAAAAGTCATTTCTCAGTACCCAAGCCTAATCGTCAATTTACTGCAATCAATTGCGCACCTCATCACCACACTCAGAAGTATTTGTATGCATAACTCCATCATTGGCACGTCCATCGTAGACCGAAGCACTACTACTCTGTCCAGCACTTTCAGTGTTTCGTTTACGATTAAGAATAACCTAAATGAAATAATAAAAACGAACAAATAAAAAATAACGTTTTCTTGTAAGCGGACAAATTCTTGTGGACGTGTTACTACTAACCATGGGAAAGCTTTTTGGCCTAGATAACCTCGGACGTGCATTTAGGTAAACCCTTGTTAACACACCGAACAACAATACGAATATGGTATGCAACGAAATGATATCAGTTTCATTTGAGAAGCCTGACCACTCAGAAAAATGTTTGAAAACGGTACCCACTACGAAATATTAATGCCGCACTTGAGGCACGTTAGGAGTGAAAGAATAAAAAGATGAAAATGGAAAGATGTGAAATGAGAACATGCGTGATTAAGAAGCATGTTGCAAATTACAATTTCAGAAAGTTTTTGAAGCATTTTACGGTGGGTTTAGTTCGCGCGGATGCTCGAGTTTGACCAGCGTATTCACGAATCACTGTTTACTCCTGTTAAACAAGACAAGATGATGACACGCTGACAAGCGGCACGATAAGACGTACAGGATCGTCACGCCTAGCACGAAAAAATATTGAACCCCTGAGCAGCACCTTTTTCAATCAAGCACACCTTAATAGCTCCTAACTAACGTGCAACATGCTGACAAAGTCGCCCACTGCAACCCCCCGCCCACAAGTGGCAGCTCAGTCACATGGACGCTGCTACTCGACTCTCTCTATAAAATTCAACTGATATTAAGCGTTGCCACATACAGGGGGGGGGGCAAAAAAGTCACTTTTCTTCCTTGACTTTCAAGGCGCTATAAGTTACACTTAATTAAATTCTGATGGGACATTTCCACCACCATATTCAACAGCATATTGTATACTATCATGATGCTCCGCCACAGCCTTCTGGACGAGCGCCATCGAGAGATTCTGCCACGCGACCGTGATTCGGTACCTGAGTTCAGCGAGATCGTTGATTTCTCCGCCACTGTAGACCACCCTGTTGAGCTCCGCCCGAACCGGGTAATTGAGGGTGGGGGGGGGGTTAGGTCAGGTGAAGCACTTGGATATTAAGTCCTACTCAACGTCCTTCCATTCCAAGTAGGCGAGAGTTTTTCCAACGCCCTTCGATTCCGTGTGGTGGCACCCAATCCTGTAGCAGTACAAAGTTTCCAAGAAGGTACGATGACATGAAGGGAGGATATTCTTCACGAGTTGCTCGATGTAACCGCCAGCGCTTCAGTCCAGGATCCACGAAGAAAATATTGGTCTTTCCATTCCAGGAACTTCCGGTCCATACCACCAACTCGCGCCTTGGCGACTGCGGTGAAGATGATATCCTGGACCGTAGCGACGTTGTCGGAGCTGCTATTGGAGGTCTTGCAGATCAAGAGTACTGGTCTCCAGGTAGCTATCCATGGGTGACTCCATTCAAGAAGTTTCGCAGCTGTTTGGAGGTGACGTGAATTCCAGAGGCCTTTTCCAGTCAGGCTGCGATTGGAGATGACTTCATATTTTGGTGTACATGAAGGTGATGGCGGCAGCCTGCTCCTGCTTATAGAGGAACATCTTGGGTATCTTCCGCCCTGGTACTCGTATCCACTTCCTCTGTCTGGGCTGCGAAAACTTTGCTGATATGTGACTCGGTCGAAATGACTTTTTTTGCCCCCCCCCTCCCTGTGGATACTATATGAAAAGATACGTGCAGCCGTATCTATCAAAATGGTTGCTGGCACGAAACTTACGAATTATCGTCCAAAAATGCTCGTCCAATAAAGTGCGGCAAAGGTTTCTTAGGTTTTTGGCCGATTATGTTTTCATATTCCCACTATATAGCACCCCTGCTAGTTCTTTTGAGCGAAAGCCAAGTTATTATGCCTCATTGAACAGATATGATGGAATAAACATGTAGAGGAGAGGAGCTCGTCACTGTGTTGCCTTCGCAACAATAAATTTAAGTCCTTTTAATGGAAGGTAACGAAAAGCATAAGTAACATACTTGATGTAAAAGCATCTCCCGGAGTTGCGCTTCATCTGCGTCCGAAATCATGCGGTGCCGCAATGAAGCAGCCCCTGAAATAACTTTTTTTTGAGTTTGCTGAGACAGAGCTACGTGCATCAAAAACCACAGCTACGTTTTTTCTAAGTTGTTTTTTTGGCAATTTGTTTCAACTGCAATCACTGTAAATAAACAGGGTAATCGATGCATAATCACCGGCCATAATCACTGTTGAACTGCTGCGAACAACTACGTAAAGAGTGGCTGCCTCGCACACAGAAGCTTTATGGTAGGATCCCAAGGAAGGCAATCAGGTCACTTTTGATATCCTACTATATATAATCCGCTATGTCTGTGTGTGTGTGTGTATGTTTGTGTGTGTCGTCTGTCTGTGTGTCACGAAATTCATAGCGCCGGTCCCAGTAGCAGTGAGACATTGATTTCAAGAAGTGATGTAGGGGGTGTGACGGGAACACTAATGGTGGGTGACAGAAAGTGATATCAGTTGATAAGATCCGATAGAGGCGTCAGAATATGAGGGCCCCCTGCTCATAGTGCGGGACACAGCAACACTCTGACGTTAATTTCAAAGTATGATATAGGCTGTGGGACAGGAACATCATTGGTGGGTGACAGGAAGTGATATCAGTTGATAAGATCCGATAAGAGGCGTTAGAAGGGGGAGGTCACCATATCATAACGCGGGTCACAACAATAGCAGGACGTTAGTTCCGAGGTACGATATAGGGTATGGGACAGGAACGTGATTGGTGGTGGCAGGGAGTGATATCAGTTGATAAGACCTGATAAGAGGCGTCAGAAGGGTGGGCACCGAGTCCATAGCGCGGGACACAGCATCAGCTAGGCGTTGATTTCAGAAAATGATATAGAGTGGGAGATGAGAACATCGACGGCGGGTGACAGGAGGTGATAACAGCTGATATGGGCTGATAAGGAACGTTGCCGTTGTTGTTCAGTCAAAGTGTTGGGCCTTAACACTACCAAATTATGGAGCTTTAGTGATGTGGAACTGATGACGGATGAAGCAATCTCATCAATTGACAAGAAAGGATGAGGGGACATTCTCACGACATCTATGACCACTACACTGCTAAGTATTGAAGGCTCAGTGGGGCTAACTTTTCCTTTAGCCATCACTTTCCTGATAACAATAGAAAATGAACTCATCCCACTATCCTACTATCTATAAGGTCGATATCGACGAGCGGTGGGGGGAGGGTATATTTATCTACCAGTTTGGCTGACGCGCACTACTGCGCGAATGGTTCAGTCTGTGGTACTGATCTATGAAAGGATTTCTGTGTTGACCCCTAACACTTGGCCTAATTCCTATGTTTCACAATTCGGCCCATTTCATGATATTTCCATATTTCTCCTCTTTAATGAGCGATTGCCAATGTGTTTATCAGATTTCTATAAACACTCATCATTCGTTGGCGATAGAACGGCTTAGCGGTTGAAAGGTAACAATATCGAAATCATAGTGAAATGTGCTTACATCATAACACTTCCGTTGAGCAGTTTTCACATATCCGCCTGTTGGTGGCCCTTATCATTCCCCACTGGCGAACAACTTTGAGCTTTTACTTTTTGTCGAAACTCGGAAGTTTAGCGGTCTACTATAACGCTAAAGGATAGAAACACTGAGCTTTTGCCCATTGATTCCAAGGGCCACGGTGATCAACATCAGTCGCAAGCGGAGTAAAGGTGGAACGGATACTGACCCTTGCCGTACACTATATCACAACTTATATACCACCACCAAT